CGTCGCCTGGTGATTGGCCCAAAGTCACTCATCTGCTTTCAATGCAGTGGGACTAGAACTCACCGTTGCCTGGTGCTACACCAAACTGGCTCAGTTTGAATCCCATCATAAAACCCGTTTACTTCTGCAAGCAAAACGCTGCTGGCCCTCCATAATCCTGATTTATCCTTATTTTTTTAAAACCGTGCATGCAGAATTAGTCATTTACTCTGTTGCTGGAACTTTCGGCAATGGGGTTTTGTATTTGTTTTTCATTGAAACAAAACGGAGTTTTTTCCTTTTCTCATCATTCCTTCTTGTTTTCTTTCCTTCCTTCTTCTAGGCAGTCCCACTTTCTCTTATCCATCTCCACCGGTTATCACCCAGCAGCCTCCTCCGCCTCCACCAAGGGTCCAAGTCAAAACTGGTGAGTTCATAACAAAAACCTACAGACTCATTTCAAAGGGCCGAATGGTGAGAAGAGGAAGTGAGGCTAAACTTGGTAACAATGGCTTGCTTTCTTAGTAACCACTGACTCTGGAGTTTTTCACTCATTTTATTACTTTTGGTTTGCAGCAAAAAAAAAAAAATATGCCCCATGGGGAACAGTGGGTTCACCTAACCACCACTGCACAAAGGGTTGTAAAATCAGGTGTGGTCATACAATGATCCGTTTTACAATCACGATGACAATCAGGCCTTGTGGCGCCCCTCTTCTCCATCCAAATCAGCATTTCTCCAACTCTGCAGCTCAGCTGGGAAATTCTGGGAGTTGGAAGTCCACCCCTCTTAAAGTCGCCAAAGTTGAGAAACACTGATCTAAATGGGGGTTGTTGTTTTTTTTTGGTTTTTGGTTTGTTTTGCCTAATATGTCATCTTCGCTCTTCATTTGATGTAGAATCTACATATGATGAAATCCGAAGAAGCAACTGGGGCAGCAGCACAGTAAACACCACTCCCAAAGGTACAGCTCCAAATTTCACTCATACACCTTGAATTATATCATCCTGTGATTTATTTAAGTTTGGTTTAGGGTAAAGAGCAGTGGTTAGAATGCAGTGCTGCGGGCTGCTTTTATAGACTGCCGGCTGCCTGCAATTTGGCAGCTCGAGCCTCACCAGGCTCGAGGTTGACTTAGCCTTCCATCCTTCCGAAGGTCGGTAAAACAAGGACCCAAATTGTTGGGGGCAATCAGCTGACTCTGTAAACTGTTTAGAGAGGGCTGTGAAGCACCGTGAAGCACTGTGAAGTATATATGTCTAGGTGCTTTTGCGGTGCTATTGCTAATGTGCCAAACTGACTACCATGATTTGCAAGCCACGTTCCAGGATTTTGTTATGCAAACTCAGTCAACTATTGTTTGTTCCATGAACCAGATCAAGGCTTGGCCTGTATGAGCCTGTATGTGTCTGGGTTGACACCAGCTGGTAGATTGGGCCACAGTAGAGTTAGGTAGCTTGTGTGGACCTAATCATTGTACTGTGCATATCAGGGTATATTGCAGAAAGTAAAATAAAATCAGTCTAAATTCTGGAGTTGTCTAATGTGCACATAGTGCTCTTCAAGAGACTGAATTTAGATGGTTTTTCAAAGAGAATCCGCCAAGGTAGCCATTAGGTTCAGCAGCTGTTTCTATGACATAAACTGTGATCACACAACATACTTGATCTGATTACTGAATTAAGCTACAGCCTTGATTTGCAGAATGTTTTGACCCATAATCGAAGGAAACAGGCTTGGTTTATGTGGCATGCTGGGATACAAATGAGCAAATTAAGACTAACACTAATCCAAAGTAGTACGCATCTGTGAATGTAAGCGCCCTGGTCTTTTAACTGAGCCAATTAAAGGTATTGTATGAACCCTGTCAGGAAATCCGAGTCGCTCTCTCTCCGTCATATGATTGGTTTGTTGTCTGCTTGACAACTTTAACATGTGTGGTCTTCGAATCTCAGAATTCCCAAGGCAGCAATGTCCAACACACGTTAAAGTTATCAAGAGTGAATAACTGGACTGGTGGGTTGTATAACCATATCCACCCCCCCCGAAATTGGAGTGAAGCATTGCTGTACCATTGAGCTTCTACTTTCATTCCAGAACTGGAATTTGCAATCTCAACACTCAGTGCTCATTTGTTAATGGGGACCATGAATGCAATAACCTTAATGCATTCATGTCCAGCACATGGATTTCTTTGGTTCCTCTATAACAGTGGTTACCAATTGGTGGGTCATGGCCCACTGGTGGGCTGTGAGAAAATTTTGGTGGGCCGCAGAGAAATCTCACCCCCAGAGCACCCCCACAAAGCAATTAATCCAGGCTGCGCAGAAACACAAGGCTGTGCCACCCACATGACCAGCGGGAACCCTTCCCGCCCACTCACTCCTTACCCAGTAAACTTGCCTGCTAAATTGCTATTTTTCCTTTTTCTGACCATCATCTGTTTGGGAGATTTAGATTAGCTAGGAAGCAGGAAATGGTTGGATGTCTTGTTTTCTAGCTAGTCTTGAGATCTTCAGCTCGACCTCCCTTAGGACTGAAGGTTTGCTTGCAAGCAAATTCAGTGCAGACTCACGACAAGCAAATTTGAGAGACTGAGCTAGCCGATGGCAGATAGATAGATCACTGAATGATTCTGTGGGCAACTCAATCTGCCTGCTTTGCCTGATTTTGGGTAAAAGTTGCTTTTTTTAATTAAAAAAAATCAATATTTACATGCATAGTGTGTTGTGAGTTAATTTTATGAGTTTGCTTGTAAGCAAATTTTATGTGACAGACCGAGCTAGCCAATGGCAGATAGATAGATTTCTGAATGAATCTGTGATTCTGTGAGCAACTCAATCTGCCTGCTTTGCCTGATTTTGGGTAAAAGTTGCTCTTTTTTTATAAAAAAAATCAATATTTATATAAATATTTATATTTACATACAAGCCATGCCCAGCCAGTCACATGACTATCAAGCCACACCCACAAATTAGGCCACACCCACAGAACCGGTTAGTGGTCCCTGGGATCTAAAATTATGAGTTTGGTGGTCCCTGAGGTCCAAAAGGTTGGCGACCCCTGCTCTATAATGTCCAGGTGGGTAGACTGAAGGGATTCTTGGTCTGATCCTGCTTGGCTCCCACCCAAGCAGTGGGGACATCCCTTATTAAAGGAAGGGCATCAGAGCCGCCACTTAGTTCTGCTTATTTTCATCTTCCACTTTGAAGGTTCCCCACCGCAGATCCAAACTGTGAGCCGGATCCCGGATTCTACACGCATGGCACCTGGTAGGCCAATACCTCTGGCCCCTTGTCCTCCACCATCTTCTGTTTTTCTTTGGTGATTCCCATCAGCCTGCATTGCTCTGCCTTTGCCAGGGGCACAATGCATAAGGCTTGGCAAATTCTTGTGTGCCTTGCCATGCAGGAAAACAGCTTCCGTTTGTGTCGCGTCTCCCCCCCAACACACCATCTTGGGAGCAAATTAATTGCTTTGAAATTAGCCGCTAACCCAGAAGTGTGGCAATGAGAATAAAGCACTCATTTCTTGAGTTAATCATATGTTTGGCCTGTACCATTTCATCTGGAGAGGGGAAAGGGTTAGCTAATTATCTGTACTCCCTGCTCCCAGAAAGCAAGTTTGACAAGCCAGAAAGTAGAGCCACGTAAGATTTCAGTTCTGTCGGCTGCAACTTGTCTGCTGGATTGTAGCCTGAACCAGGGGCCTATCATAGCAACTAGGACAGGGCTAGGAGAATTTGTGAGCTCTTCCAAATATGGGGAAGAGATGGGGAAGGAAATCCTCCCAATGCACCCAATTCACTCAATTGCATCCAACTCTAGCTCCTCTTATTTCCTTCTTCTTCCCAGTAGATCCATACCAAGTCCTTGGGCCCACTAGCAGCCGCTTGGCAAACCCAGGTGAGCCATCCATCTTTTGTCCTGGGGGGAGAGGGGGTGCAACATTTAGCATCCAGTAGTCAGACCGGAGAAAGAATGTCTTCTCTCGGCCTGGAAAAGGAATGGAATGGGAGACGTCACCCACCGATAAGATGGTGGGAGAATTCCACTTTCAGACCTGCAAGATTTTTGTTCATGTAGAACTTAAAATAAAGTAGGAGCTCATCTGGTTGCGTTTCCTGTCTGGTCTACTTGGAAAAGTTGCCAGCTAGCCCCCTAAGTTCTCTCTTGGCCCCGCAGAAGGTGGGTTGGAGGAGTGCGAGCGCCTCAGTCATCCCAGGTTGAGGTTGATGCTCAAAACAGTTGTTCTGTCTCTCTCTGACAGGTAGCGGCCAGATCCAGCTGTGGCAATTCCTCCTGGAGTTGCTCTCGGACAGCAACAATGCCAGCTGCATTACCTGGGAGGGGACCAATGGCGAGTTCAAGATGACAGATCCCGACGAAGTGGCGCGACGTTGGGGCGAGCGCAAGAGCAAGCCCAACATGAACTATGACAAGCTGAGCCGGGCGCTGCGCTACTACTACGACAAGAACATCATGACCAAGGTGCACGGCAAACGCTACGCCTACAAGTTTGACTTCCAGGGCATCAACCAAGCCCAGCAGGGGCAGCCCGGCGAGCCGACCCTTTACAAGTACCACCACACGGAACTGCCTTACCTGCCCCCCTACCACCAGCAGAAGGTTGGCTTCGGCCTGGGCCACAGCACGCAGATGCCTGCCTCATCCTCAGGGTTTTTCGGCCCACCTGCCCCGTATTGGAATTCCACAGGGGGAAATCTCTATCAGAACCCCACTGTGTCCAGGCAGGCTACCAACCACTTGGGCTCTTTCTTCTAACCTCCAGAAAGTCCTGGAGATACCTGAACTTCTGTACCAGGAGATCTCATTATACAAATGTCCACCGCACGCAGAAAGTGAAATACAGGGAGTATCATCTTGAACGTATTCCGTGGCCATCGTACATAAAGGCGGCGAGGGGAGCAGTACCACTCCCTGCCACCAGCAGGCGCTGTTCTTCTGCGCTACCCAAACCATTTTGTGATCATTCTAATCCATTCCTGGACTTAAACTGGAAGACTTTGCCAGCCAGATGTTGTGCCATCTTCGCCTGAATTTTGCAGATAGCCCGGCTCTCAGAATTATAGGAGACACAAATGAGTTGCCTCAGCTTGCTTAATTCCTCCACACACCCCACACCCCCATCTAGTATTACACCATGTACATTACGGAAGGAGGAGTGGCGTGTTTCTTTGTATACGAAGTAGCGGCAAGGATGAGTTCTCACTTTAGGCCAGGATTCCTCCACCTTGGCAACTTGAAGTTGTGTGGACTTCAACTCCCCAAATCCCTCACTCATTCCCCACCCCCACCAGCATTCTGGCTGACATCTTGCATCCTGACTGGGGAATTCTGGGAGTTGATGTTTACTCATCTTCAAGTTGCCCAGGTTGAGAAACATTACTGTAGCTATTGCATTACAGTCATTTTTAATCTTTTCAGAAGTGGAAGTCCTGTCTAGCCCAAATGTCCACAATTTTGGTGCTGCTGTGAGCCATTAAAATACTTAAGTTGTAGTACTGGGAGGCTTTGGGGAGCTGCCAAAACCTGAAAAATTATAGTTCAGAGTTTTCTTTAGCCAGATTTATTAAAACGTATGCGGGAGATAGCAAGAATTCCAGGAACCTTTCTCCATTTAAAACCAGTATGTCCCTAAGTATTTTAGGGAGATTTTCTGGGTTTTTTTTTCTAACCACCTATACTCTAACCTAAGAGTGGACCTAAGAGGCCCATAATTCCCAGCTAGCTAGTTAAAATGTTTATTCTTTTGGAATCATGGGGATTATTGCTCAATTGGCCCAGACTGGCAAAGATTGAAGTTCTTGGAGAAAGAAAGAAGCAAAAAGTAACTACAGTTCCATTTGCTCTTATAAAGTGTAATTCTCCTTGGAATTTCAGAACTTTTCCTATGGTGACAACAGGGTGAACTAATTCTGAATTCCTTTTACTCATAATATAGATGACTCAATGGAAGCACAATAAGCAGATAAATTACTGAAGCTATAGGGTGGACTGAACAGTGGAAAAAATGGTTTTAGATGTTCCTCCCTAGAAAGAGCTACCTGCAAATTCAAAACTAACAGTACTATTACTGTGCTAGCTTTCTATTTATAGGAATACCTCATCCTTATTATTATTATACACACTGGAATCCACAACCTCAAGGCTGCAGTAGCATAGTACTCTGTGATCCTATGGGTATCAAGTCAAATAGTCAGGCAGTGATGGTGTAACAAGCAGGTATAGAGACTAAAGGATCTGGCTCCAACAGAATAGTGTTTCCCAACCTCTGCAACTTTCAGACCCGTGGACTTCAACTCCCAGAATTCACCCTTCCCAGCACGTTGGCTGGGGAATTCTGGGACTTGAAGTGCACACGTCTTAAAGAAGCTGAAGTTCAGAAACACTTGTGTAAAGCAAAGGGGGAAAGTTACCGCTCACGTACCAATGTGTCCTGGTGTGTCCCATTTCATCAAAAGCTTCTCTAAAACCGTTAAATCAGGGGTCTTCAAACTTGACAGCTTTAAGACTTGTGGGCTTCAACTCCCAGATTTTCTCCTCCAGTCATGTTAGTTCAGGAATTCTGGGAGTTGAAGTCCACAAGTCTTCAATTTGCCAAGTTTGAAGACCCTTGTATTAAATGATGGATGCCATCTAGACAAACCCTATCCAGTGTATAAATCTTGCACCTGCGGCTCAGACTAGACACTGTCCTGCTTGGAGAACCTCTAATGAGAATGCACCGCTGTCCAAGAGAGATTGCAAGTCCTGTTGTAACTTTGGGTAATCAAATGGATGGTTGTAAGTCAAGGACTACCTGAATAGGAAACCTCATGCACCAAGGGATAGTGCCTGTAGCCCACAAAACCACGTCTGCAGTGATTCTAATGACCTTCTACAACACAGAGATGTACAGTACTGCACTTAAAACTCGTGAATATTTTCCCCTCTCCAAGGCAACCAAACCCACAATTCTCTGTTCTAGAACTCTCACCGTTTTGTACTTGTTTACTGTATATTAAAAGTTGTGTTGTGATTTAACGGATGGAACTCTGTGGATTTGATGGGGGAAGTCAGAGGAACACAGGGGTGACGGTGGGGAAAGTAGCCTTGAAGGAATGTGGGGAACGTGCCCCTCTGAGAGTGCAAGGACCACAGTGTACAACATCCTCAAATGCTGCAAGTAATGGATTTGTGCCAAATGTTAGGACACAAAGAGGGAGCGGCAGACTTTTGTGATGCTGGGACACATTGTTTTGGCCTCAATTAAGGTTTGCTGCAGGAGCTGCCACTGAGGAACCTCATAATAGCACTGGCGCTTAAGACTTATATACCACTTCACAGTGCGTTACAGCCCTCTCTAAGTGGTTTACAGGGTCAGCCTATTGCCCCCAACAATCTGGGTCCTCATTTTACCAATCTTGAAAGGAAGGAAAGCTGCGTTACTTTGAGCTGATGAGGATCGAACTCCAGGCTGTGGGCAGAGTTTTGTTGCAATACTGCATCACTGTGACCCATAATCTTTCAATTGGTATGATAATGGAAAATAAACATAGTTCAAATAAACCTTAGCTCTTTGTGAGGTTGGCATTCTTACCTATGCTGAACTTAATCCACTGTAGTTACTAAGAAAGATAATGTCTATAAGGTAAAATGCCGAGCCCAGAAAACAACGAAATCCAAATAATTTTCCAAGTGCTTTCATTTCTTCACTCAATGACATTCATACCTTACAGGTAGGGTTGACCAGAGAGAAGGCTTTGAAGACCAAGGATAAGGCAGGTATGGGTCAGTAAGTTAAAAAAAAAAAGTACTCATCCATTCTTGAGACTCTTTCAGATTTGATCCTCAAAACTATTTCCCTAAAGCCTTCCACCTAAACCAGTATTGCTCCATTTTGGGAACTTTTAAAAATGTGTGGACTTCAACTCCCAGAATTCCCCAGCCAGCAATGGAGTTGAAGTCCAAGCATCTTCAAGTTCCCAGAGCTTAAAGATAAATGCTGGTTTAAGGATTTTAAAAGGTTTTTAAATTAGGTTTAAAAAGTTTAAACACTGGCTTAAGGATATAATCCCATTTGGTAGGAAGGCACTAAAGATAGTAAGAAACCTCTACATGGGGATTTTGGGAGGGCTTACATGATCTGGTTAAGACATAATCCCAGTCCGCGTTTGCACTGTACAGAAATACAAGAATTGTGGGCAATCTGTACTCAAGAAAACTGACCTGACCCAAATTTTCACCACGAAGAATCTCCCAAGACTGCTCACAGATGGCTTGCTAAAAGAAAAGAGATACCACCTCTGTCAGCTGAGATGTGGGGAAAACCACCTTATTTGGGGACTTGCAAAAATCAGGAACTGTTTTCTGGTTTTGTTTATTTTTTAAAAAAACACACATGCCTCTCTCACTTATATCTGAAGATCTTCTGAAGCAGCTTCGCATTTCTTTAAGAGCTGGTTAAGCCCAAAGGAAATTTTTGGAGCTTTTTGTAATCTTTCCACCCCTTCCACCTCCTGCTCCCTTATTTGTTTGGTCAATGGAATTTCATCTGTCTGAACAGCTGCTGCCTGCCCCCATAACTCTCCTCCCCAATTAGGGTCAAAGCTCCTGCTTTTCCAAGCTTCTCCCATCTGCTTCCTGCTCTTTGGCTGTTTTTCCTGTTTGCTCAGGCCCAGGATAATACAAACACCTCCTCTAAGACAGGCAGAGCACAAAGAGAAAGAACAAAGCGGCGGGGGGGGGGGGGGGGGGGGGGGGGGGGGAGAGAAAGAGAAGAGGAGGGAGGCTGCTTCCCTTCTGACCCCCACCCTCTCTCAAAAAGCTCCCCTTCTTCACTGGCAACAACAAACGTTTTCTATTGTCTACCGTTTCTCTGATAAACGCAGACAAGTCTGCATTTGACAAGTCTGTATTCAGCTGAACACTAACTAATCCGTGCAACCTCTGTGTTTTCCCTTGGAAGGTGGAGAAGGATTGCAGCCATTTTTGTGACCCTTGCTCGCCGCCTAATTCTTTTAACTGGGTATGCCATGCTGTGGATGCCCAGAGTCAACAGCACAGCTCACACAAGACAGCTGAAAAATGAGGGGCTACAGAACCTATAGATATTTTTTTTTTTCAACATTCCCAGAGTACAATGCAAACTGGCCAAAGCTACAAGCGGACTGTATCCTTAACAGAGGTGGCATTCAGCAGGCTCTGACCAGTTCTGGAGAAACGGTAGCGGAAATTTTGAATGGTTTGGAGAATTGGCCAATACAACCTCTGACTGGCCCCGCCCCTTTCTCTTCTCTGCCGCCAGAGTCCCAGCTGATCAGCTGGGTCTTCTTTAGTTGCTCTGCACAGGAGAACGGAGCTGGAAAGCAGGTCAGTGGGGTATGGTGAGGGAATGGGGATTTTACAGTATGCTTTCCCCTGCCACGCCCACCAAGCCACGCCACGCCCACCAGGCCACGCCCACAGAACTGGTAGTAAAAAATTCAACCCCACCACTGATCCCTACCACTTTCATATTGTTTACTTAGCTCCAAACAATTTTGTCAGATTGTGCATTAGCATGTTGTGTTAAACCAGTAACTGTGCTTTAGTGTGATGTGTGAATTAAGTCCTAGTATGACCTTTCCAGGAAGAATAGCGTCTGTTTATTCTGATCAAGCTGAATATTCCAAGGGTCTTTAGAAAAGGATTCAACGTTGCAGGTAACATTGCTCACCAATACGCTTAAGACATAACAAGGAAGGAAACATCCTATTATGGGGTAACCCAAGTATTCTAGGAAGGGAGACTGACTTCAGCAATACTTGGAATAGGCTCGCGTTGGAATCTACCCAATTTCAAACAGAGCTCTGGGATGTTCCAGAAAATAACATTTTGCAAACTTCTAGAATTAATATGAAAGTTGTGTTCCAGTCGTGCACCCTATTTACTACAGAGGGTGACCAGACTCCTCTGGGAAACCTACAAGCAGGATTCCAAAGGCCACCAAACTCTTTCCTTTGACTTCCCCAACAACTGACTGTCTCTGGAAATATCTTACCACCACCACTCCGAAAAAACAAGGTGGCCACAAGGAAACAAGATGCTTTCGGTAAGGGAAAGATAACAAGAAGAGTTAAATGTAGTAAAAAAAAAAAAGAAGAAGCATAAATTTATTGACTCAGCACAAAAGTTATTTCCCCTCAAAATAAACCCAGAAGACTCTACAAGTTGTGGTTCCTTGCTATCAAAACCAGAAAAGCCAGGTAGTCTGGGGAACGGGGGGGTGCAAAGCACACAACGCCTCCATGCTTGTCAGCTTCAGGCCAGGGAGGGGGACTGTGCTATCTCAAGCCCCTTCTCCACTGCCCAAGTTCCCCAAATCTGCGTCTTCTCCAGCAGGCCCGTAACTCGGTTCCTCAGCTTTGGGTGATGGTTGAAGCACAGCCCCAGCGACTGCTGTCCCGTTACCTTAGGCCCAGCTTCTTCTTCTCTTTCTGTTTCTTGCGCACAATGTCGATGTTGCGGTCCTTCCACATGCTCTTGCGCAGTTTAATGGGCCGGCTGCCCACGTATTTTCCTGCCGCGAAAGAACAAGAAACAGTGTGAAGGTGGGGACGTTTAACCCAACGCCTGTGCTGTGGTCTGTCAGCAGCCTGCGGAGATGGCAGCAGAGTCAGACAGTGGGGAGGAACATAGGCCAGGAGTCTGGGGAGGAGTTGGACGAGGGTCCTGCGTCCGATACAGAGATGGGGCCAGGGCCATCTGGGAGTTATGTGCTGACTCGGAGCCTCCAGAATCTGGCAGCAGCGAGGCAGAAGAACAACGGGAGCCTGTTCCCAGTGCGCACATGCACAGAGCTGCCAGAAAGCAAGAACAGTTAAGACTAAAGGGGCAACTCGGGAGTAAGGCTTGGAGGTGATGGGCCCTCCCATAAGACATAAAGGAGGAGCAAAGGGACATGAGCCTTTGCAGGAAGCAACTTTGTTTGTACTGGTCAGTTTGAAACTTGAAGCTCGGTGTTGAATTTGTGTTCCGTTTTGGCCTTGTATAACTAGTTCGACATTTAGTTGTTGGCAGCATTTCAAGGAACATAAAGGTGCATGCTTATCCTGAAGAACTTTGGCAGACTTCCATGGGACTATTTAAAAATGGTTCAGACTCATTACGGGCTGTGAATGACTAAAATTCACAGCTGTTGAAATAAAGAAAAAGGGGTTTGGGGACTAATGTGTGTTTGTTAATGTCTCCATAAGCCTTGGTCACAACAGCCTGTCTCCTGAGGCCAGGTATTAAGCCAAGCTCCTGTCATCCAGGGATGGAAGTACCTTCATATCTAAGGGCAGCTATAAAAGGGTGGGAAGTCCAACAATTACCTGGAGGGTATTGGGATGAAGCTGGCAAATGTAATTTATCCACACAACTAGGTTAACTGGGTTCACGTATTATACCCAAATGATCGTGTGGTTTATTTCATTTGGAGTTATATGTTATATTATCTTTGCTACTGAGGTTGTGAAACTATAATTAATGGCTTAGAGATCACTTGGGCTACAGTGGTGCATTCCATCAGCCAGTTCAACAAACCCTATTTTATTCTTACGTAGGGACCACGTCATTAAAGAATAACAGCACTTGGGGAATTGACTTGAATTCCCTAAAATGCATCAGATGCAATTTAGCACAAACTTCTTTTCTTTTTTAAGCAGACTTTTTATGGAGCTATACTTCAGATTGGGAATTAAGTCGTGGTTGGACTTAGCAGCCAGTTGACGTTTTGGGTTTTCTTGCCCTGCCTCGAAAGACAGAACATTTTTTTTTTTTTATCACTGGTTACTTCATTTTTAGTTGGGAGTTGAATCTGTTTTCTCCACTTCAATGGGACTTGAGCAGGATATCCTCTCGGGATGAAATGGAACAGCTCCGCCCTCACCGCCAATAAACGGGGAACCTCGCACTCACCATTCATTTCCCGCATAGCGCGGACATAGTCGTTGGGGTCTTTGAAGCTGACAAAGCCGTAGCCTTTGGTTTTGCCCGTGCGCTTGTCCCGGATGACTTTG